TTAACATTGTTTGCCTAAACCAAAAAATTAGGTAACCAAGGCTGAAAACTGAAAAACAGTGAGAAGTTGATGTGTCAAATATTAAAATCATAGCACTTTTGGCTACAATGTGTCCGAACCCTAAAGAATTTTGTTTATTTTTTTTTTATTTTTTTGCATACCCAAATTGAAAAACGAATAACTAAGGAACTGTAAGGCCAGATTACATGTGTGATACTTGATGTGAAGCCTCTAAAAATATAAAGGAAAATTGTGTGACTAAAACACAGCCTAAACTGCATCAGTTAAAACATGACTCAGTTCTTTTTTTTAATAGCAGTAAGAAAGATATGCTTGATTACAGGCATGTGTCATATTATATTTATTCTGCATCATGTCAACCACAACTGCAAAGAATTTCAGACCTCTGGGTATAACAGTGTCGGAGCTGTGGGACTTTTAACTTCTGGTGCCAGCAGCGTCTCCAAACCTCTCCAAATGTGCTAAATTATTCCATCATGCTTAGTTTTACCTCATAAAAGCCAATTGAAGCATTTTGATGTCGATAAAATTTTTTTTTCTTTACTTTGTTTAATGTTGATGAATGAGCCAGACACTAAAATCGGCCCACTGATTACTTGGTTGGGCTCTAGTTTACGTTGATTTCAGGTATAAGTTGATGGTTATTTTTGAGCATGTCTTTATCCATTCAATAAATAGAACTGAATCGATATTATTATTTCCATGTAGTTCAGGAGGGTGGAGGAGAGGATTGGTCATGTGACGTTGATGCTGAGCTGTAGCCTGGTTGTTTTTTCACCATGTCCAAAGAGATTAAATATTGGTAATGTTGGATTAGCAATAGTATCATTGGATGGGGCTGGATGATATGGCTTAAAATGAAATCCGGATTTTTATTTTCTTTGGTTTCATTTGTTTCTTTTAAATGAAAACTGGTATCGCAGTCAAGGACTGGAGGGGGATCTGGTTTGGGGAACAGCGAATCTTGTCCCTGCTTTTTGTGGATGACGTAGTTCTGCTGGCTCCCTCCTGCCAAGACCTACAGCGTGCGCTGGGGCGGTTCGCAGCCGAGTGTGAAGCGGCCGGGATGAAAATCAGCTCCTCCAAGTCCGAGGCCATGGAAAAAGGTGGCTTGTCCCCTTCAGGTTGGAGTAGAGTCCCTGCCTCAAGTGGAGGATTTCAAGTATCTTGGAGTCCTGTTCACGAGTGAGGGAAGAATGGAGCGGGAGATCGATAGATGGATCGGTGCGGCTGCTGCAATAATGCGGACGCTGCACCGGTCTGTCGTGGTGAAGAGTGAGCTGAGCGAAAAGGCAAAGCTCTCAATTTACCGGTCGGTCTACATTCCTACGGTCATGAAATTTGGATCATGACCGAAAGAAGGAGATCCCGGATACAAGCGGCTGAAATTAGCTTCCTCCGCAGGGTGGCTGGGCTCTCCCTTAGAGATAGGGTGAGGAGCTCGGTCATTCGGGAGAGGCTCAGAGTAGAGCCGGTTCTCCTCCACATTGAGAGGAGTCAGTTGAGGTGGCTCGGACATCTTCTTCGGATGCCACCTGGACGCCTCCCTCGGGAGGTGTTCCAGGCACGTCCCACTGGGAGGAGGCCCAGGGGACGACCCAGGACACGCTGGAGAGACTATGTCTCTCGACTGGCCTGGGAGCGCCTAGGGCTTCCCACAACAGAGCTGGAGGAGATGTCTGCGGAGAGGGAAGTCTGGGAGTCTCTGCTTAGTCTGCTGCCCCCGCGACCCGGTTCCAGATAAAGCAGGAGACGACGAGTACGAGTACGAGTACGAGTATCGAGACATCCCTACCAGTTTACGTCATCCCTAACAATTTTTATATTTCTGATACAAGCAAATATTATTGACCTGATAGGATAGCAGCATTTTTCAGAGTAAAACATTAGGAAAGGCTTGATCATGTAACATTAGCCAGAGAATAAAGGGCAATAAATATTTGGAAGAAAACAAGTGAACCATTTGTTATTGACCAGTTGGTTATATACTTTAAACTGAAAGCTGAATCTGAGTCCACCCACTCTGTTTAAGGCAAGTTACCATATTTGATCCCTCGCATACCCCTTACAAATGGAGTCCCCCCCATTCAGATGCTGCTACACAAGATCCTGCTACATGGCTGTACAGCTTATTTTGGTATTTGACCAATTAGATGAGCCCTTGAATGATATATTACCTACTGGAAATTAAGTTGAAGAAAAAGTTAACAAATAAAGATAAAAAAAAGGTAAAAAGCAAATTGAAAAGTTAATAAGCCTAGTTCACAATTATATTTAAAATTTATAAACTAAAAATTGTAAGTGCCAGTATCAGCGTTAATGTCTCTAAGTTTATGTTGTAACAAAAAAATGTTTCTTTCCCTCTGAGTGTTTTTCATCAATTTCTTATAGAAGCACTTTTATTTTTCTTAATATATTTGGGCGAGTTGGCATTTCTTATTACATTGACATTAATTTCTGCCATCAAAACATCCATATTTTCTGAATGTTACAAAGGAAATAAGGTCTTGTCCCGGATTCCAATGACACTATTGGCTTGAAATGTTGATTTTCAAAGTATTTCACTGAGGGCCCTATAATGGGTTAACATTGATGGCTTTATTCACGTCCCTCTCAAACCACCTATTATTTTTTTTTTTTTTCTCCAAAATGTGAACATTCTGGTCCTCCAAAGAATGTCCTTTGTCCATAAAGTGTAGATGTACCGCATAGTCTTGTCCTGAGGAGGTCGCTCTTCTATGTTGGGCCATGCATCTGTGGAGAGGTTGTTTGGTTTCTCCAATATAAAGATCAGAGCATTCCTACAATACAGTTATAGAGCTGATTCCTTCCCACTATCATCGCAACCCCCAGCCCCATACAAGGGAACAGAACACCTCGTCTTTTTAGCCAGGCCAACAACTCCCTCCAACAACCCCTTTTCAGAGACATAGACAGGTATTGAGTAAAGCATGCTAACATAGAACCCAAATGACCCCCTTTCCATAAGGGGCAAACCCGTTCGCCGGTTCAATTATGTTTTCTAAGCCAAAACAAGCCTTTGTTTCTGGTCCACTCTGTAAAGCCTCAAACCTCAACACTACTCCAGACATTTTCTATTGAAAAAGCTTCCTGGATGGGAAGCAGAACGTCTTCAAACTTGGAAAAAAGTCTTGTAGATTGTTTTCTTTTTACTTTTTTTGAATGGCTATGACCTGGATGACTGAGAATCTTCACCGGCAGATTTTACTATCTGAAAGTCTATCAGAAATCAAAATGCAGCTAAAGACAAGCTGTGAAACATGTTTGTAAGTCAGTAGGCAGGTCTGCAATGGAACAAAATAACAATACGACGCACAACGGGTTCTCAGCTTGTCTTAATAGATCACTCACTACTTGACCCGTTCTGACCATAAATCTAAGGATAAAAAGTCACAGGCTTGAGTTTCCAGCACACTGGAAACTCAAAATCTTTCTAAATTAAATCTTTATAAATAGCAAATTCATAAAATCGATCATCTAATATTGGAAATCAGCTCAGAATTTCATATCGATGCATCCCTAATTTTAGTTAATCAGCATTTCTGTTGATGAACTCTATAATTAATAGTTTGTTTTTCTGGCGTGTCTGCGTATTTAATATTTATATTAGAAGCAGAGCTGGCAGTTTTATCTACGTGACTTCAACTTCCTCTAAATGGGCAACATGTCACCTGGATAATGAATAAAACGGGATGTCAGGCATCATGTTTTTCCTTTTTGATATTCCACTCTCATACAGATCTGGTATAAAACCAGTTTGTTTGACCCTCTGTGTTTCCTGAGACGACCAGGTTTGCTTTGATTAGGACTGAATCGGCCAGATCAATCAATCCATCTATCCATTTTTCTCAAACACTTTCACTTAAATTTATGATTTAAAGACCGAGAGACAGAAAGATCAAGGTCATATGGTCCTAGAGGACAAACCCCCCTTCACAACAGGATTATTATTAACAAAATTTCCTGTCATACTCAATATTTAGTTCATATTGGCATCTCTAATCCAACTCTGAACTGATCCTGGCAGCCTCTGTGTTTTTTGTTTGTTTTGTTTTTTTAGATTAAGAGCGTGTGCTTTCCTCCTACCGTCTGTCCATCCAGTTAGCTACGTCACATTGATGCGAGAGGTTGTCTTTGTTATGAGTCACGGCTGCGGTGCACTAACCCGTCACTTTAATAGCTTAGTGCCTCTGCTGCACCTGGGCTTTGAGGAAATGAAACCTCTTGGTCGTTTGGTTGAACGAGGCCAGGTGTGACGGATGAAACTGCTCATCTTAGAGCTTTTTGATGCAGCCTTTCCTCAGTATTGGATGGGTTTTTGGAATGCAGACAGAAAGGAAGGTGAGAAGGGGGAGAGCGAGGGGGAGAATGAAGGGCAAGTAAAAAGAAAACAGAATAACTTGCATGCCTGCAAGAAATGAGAAGGAAGAAAAAACTAAATGCATAAAACTCCAGCCATGACAAAAGAGGGATGATCCCATGGACATACAGTAAACGTATGCATACAAACATCAATTTACTAATAATTTCGAGCTATATCTAGTAGAAGTTGCAGCTTAGTAGTAAGCATAACTGTGTATCCACTAACACCTGGATCAAAATGCCTGTGGTGTCCAAAGAAGTTTGATGGTGTATATAAGGTTTGCACAATAGCAGCCATTCAAAATGGCCCTCACCAGTCAAACGCCAGCCGAATGGCAGCCCACTTCCCTGTAATTCCCAGCAGAAGCCAAGGACCATCAAGAAAAGTGGAGAAATGTTTGAATGGCTACTACCGTAAGGCAGCAGTAAGTGATGCTCAATGGCAGGTGTGAGGAGCCCCAGGCCCGCCCTGCAGACCCCGGGGGCTGCCACAGGACAACGGAGCCCCAGAATCCCAAGGCAGCCCAGAGAGATTTTATTTAGAGAGAAACTGTATTGGTCATCTCCCCTCTTCTTCTCTTTCTTTTTCTTCGCAGTGTTCGACTATGCCTACAGAGATTACATCCTGTCCTGGTACACCCCCCTGAGTCGTGATGAAGGCCAGCTGTACTCCATGCTGCTGGAGGACTGGTGGCAGATGATTGGCCAGTTAAGATCCCGGCTCGCTGACATCGATGTAGTCAACGTAGTGTGCTATGACAGCGTGCGCATCCTTCATACCCACTTCACCGACCTGAAGGCTGCATCTGGAAGGTATCATCACGGCGTTTTATTTCCTCTGACGTATCAGAACGTTGCTAATTAACTGGATTTTATTGCTGCTCCTCCAAGCTTCTTTCTACAACATTCTGCGTTCTGCCGCATGATTCTTTGATGTTTTTCCACTTCTAAACTGCCGTTCAGAACCCGTCTCCACCCACCAGACAGTCTAGTAATTTCATGCACACTGATGGAGTGAAATTGCATCAATTAGATGCAGGTCTTCATAACTCATTTCCCTTCTGCTGTACACAGAGGAAAATGGGGGGGACAGACAGAGTGGTGATTCACGCATCATCTGGGTTTATTATCCTGACAAGTCAGGCGGAGCTCATTGTTTGATCACGCCATTCTCATCCATCAGAATGAGACACGATGCTTTCTGCTTCAGAAAAGAACCCTCGCCCATCAGGAGCAGGAAATCCTTTCAGTTTAGTTTTTTTTCAGACTCCCAGCCAGTCAACTTATAATCCTCCAATCCTAAAACCATCGAATCATTCAGGCAGCGTTACCCTAAAATCCCACATCCTCAGCAACCGCCCGCTCCGTTCTACTGCGTTCCAGACCGCCTTTGCAAAGGAAAGCCTACAGCCTCCCTCCTCTTCCCTTCTTGCTCTGCTCAGACTTACTGGAGCCCGAGGAGAGCATGTGCTTTATCATTATTACATTCATAGGAGCAAAACAGGTGGAAATAAACACTTAATTTAATGTAACATATTAAAAATATCCCCATTAGCATTCAGGATATGTGGAGTTTCTGCCCAAATATTTTCTTTTTGTTGTGGATCTTTGTAACAGGGATAACTAGGATCATACAACATTTTTATGAACTATGTTTGTTCTCTACCTCCAAACTCAGCATCTCTTCATCCATGTCTACGATAAGAAGTTTATTTTGAAGTTTTGAGAAGACTTCTTGGAGGCTGTTGTAACTGGTTTTGTTTAAACTTTTAAACCTCTTGGTATAAAATAAATATTTTGATTGAAATCAGAAATCTGCTTCCCGTAATGTTGAAGTGCCTATAGTTTGCATCCAATCATTTAATTAAACGGTCTTAGTTTTTGGGAATTTATAAGAATTATAAATTATAAATCTGGTGTAGAGCAATGGAATTTCCCATTGGGAACCTACTGGCATTAAGTTGCTAACTGTTAGCAAGATGCTTCCGACAAACCGTCCACAGTCAAACTTACTTGCAAACACATCAATCCCGCCCCTTTGATAAACCACCAATCACATTCACTTTATTCACTTGTGTAAAGTCGTGCACCACTCTGAAGAATTCGGAAATGCAACGGTTGGAACAGCCGCTTCCCTACGACTTTAAATGACAAATCAGATGACCACATTTAAGATCTCTCAAAAGGCATTCCGACTCTCCAAAATGTGGTTAAAGTTATGTTGAAGTGTTATTTTTCACTAGAAATAATATAAAAATATAAAAAATCCTTAAGGGAAGTCAAAGTTTAGTAAATAATGTTTGTCTATTGTATTAAAATTTCAGTATTACTATAATGGGTCTGTATTATGAGTTGTCTTCTCAATTCAGAGGACCCTGTCTTTGCCTAGGGCCCCAAATTTCCTAAATCCTGCCCTGGATACAGTGCAGTTTGTTAATGTGGCATTTAAAAAAAGTTTAAGTGAATCTGAGAAGGTTGACGTTTGAGTTAAGGTAGAATCTTTATTATCTATTTGTTTTTGTGTACAAAGACCAGAGGAAGTTGCTCGTCCGTTTCCTCTCCACCCCTGCCTGGTCAGCCCCGACTCAGAGATGGCCTTCCTCCGGTGTGTAGCGAGAATCCTGCTGCTCTGTCTGCTGCCGCAGAAGGACGCCAAGTCGCACACGCTACGCTGCTGCCTCACCGAAGTTATAACGACCAAAGGTAGAGACCCTCTTCATTATTTCTGCTGGATGTAGGACTGAATCCACTCCGTCTGGTTCGATGAATGGTGGATCTGAAAAACAGGTTTAACTAATTAGCTGCAGACTTCTGAGCTGGAAGCTCTAATTATGTTTGTTCAGGGATAAACACTCGACTGATGGTCAAAAAAAGGCCCATTATCCACACAGGTTTAGTGCCGTGATTCACTATGGAAACGGGGAAATAAAGAGCATGGAGGGATGGAGAAAAGCAGCAGCTGTTTCATTTTTATTCTGAGTTCAACTAGTACAAACCCTTCGGCTGAATGAGTACATCTAAAGTTTATTCATCTTTATTGTTTGACTAGATAGAAACTATTATTTTTTTCTAGTTGCGAGCCTCAAATAATCCAGTTTGAAAGAAGTCTGTCAGTTTGTCACTGAACAGCAGCAGTTTAGATTAATACCTAATGGCAGAATGAAACTGTTCCTTTTCTGCAGCAGTTGAAAATGAGTGTTGGTTTAACATTGTCTGTTGTGAATGTGGTTAGAATGTGTTTGATGTTGTTTTGTAGCTGATGATCAAAGCTGTGTTGATGCCAGAAGGCGGTTTTCTGCCTCTGTGTGTTGCAGTGTTGAAGCCTCTGGTGGAGGTGCTCAGTGATCCAGACTCCATTAACAGGATGCTGCTGTCTCAGCTGGAGCAGAGGGAGCAGCAGGCGGAGCAGCAGAAAAAAGCCTACACCTACGCTGCCTCCTATGAAGACTTCATCAAACTGATATCAACTTCGTCTGATGTCAATTTCCTCAAGCAACTCAGGCATGGCAGCAGCTGCTCTCACATACCCATCCATCAATCTGTCCGTCCAACATAAACCATCCATCCATCCATCCATCCATCGTAATCCATCCATCCATCCATCCATCCATCCATCCATCCGTCCATCCATCCATCCATCCATCCATCGTAATCCATCCATCCATCCATCCATCCATCCATCCATCCGTCCATCCATCCATCCATCCATCCA